TTCTTATATCGTATAAGGATTTGGATGCGAATACAGATTTTTTAGATATCAGAAATGGTAAGGATTCGGACTGATATCGAAGCAGAAGCAAACTTTTTTAAAGTAAGATAATATGTGCTTATGTGTTTTTTTTTTATGATGAGAAACAATTCATTAACCAAAGTCATAAAGCCGCAAATAGGCAATCATTAGAATTACCATTCCATGTCGTGTGTAAACATACTTAAATTAGTATATATAGTTGACTAGTTTTGTTTGTGGGCTACAATATAATAATGCTTGTGTCATGATTCTTGCCGCTTGGACTCCTTAAAATATTCGGATTATCCTATTATAAGCGTTGGATAATCCACGTTTAATTATCAGATAATCCATATCTGCCGGATTTCGCCAATTCTATATCCTACACAGCAATTATAAACACTTCTTCCTATTCTTAAAATTCAGATTCGGAGCGGAGGATTATCCATACCACTTTTATCTCTAATGCAACGGATGCCCAATTTGCATTGCATATTAGAGAAGAGTAAATTGCTCGCATTTTTTTTGAACCAGTCCATTAAGATTTAAATCCTTGATTTGGCACGAGAATAGTAGATAATCCGAACCTAACCCAGACAATACAAAAATAGGTTCAGGTACGGGTGGTGGGTACTGGGGTAATCATTGTTATTAGCATTATTACTCACCGATCATTTTTATACAAATGATGTCGCTTTGCAATTTGCCATTCACAATCACATGTACGCATGAATACGCTCTCATTGTCTACTAGCAATGCAGGCGGGCCGGTCCACGGTTGCCTGTGGAGTGTCGGCGCAAGCTGATAGAGTTCTTGCGGCGGTTGTGACAGGCTCGCATGGAACCGCTAGCATTTTGCAGGCTTTGCGGCAGCCCGCATACTATAGATGTCCAACGGGCCGGCCTGGCCCGGCACGGCACAAGCCTGTGCCAGGCATGGCCCGATGGGGTTCGGGCCGACACGGCAAGTCGTGCCTCCCGAGCCATGCCGAGGCGGGCACCGTGCCTGACCTATGGCCCAGGCACGGCCTGCTGGGCCATTTATCGGGCCGGGCTAGCCCGAGAAGCACGGCCAGTCCAGCGTGCCAGGCCAGCCCCGGGGCCCACGATGAAACGCGAGCAGCCAGAGAGAGGGGGAATAGGAGGAAGCGTGAGCAGCCGGAGATGCAGTGGCCGCCGGCGACCTTGCCCTTGGGGCCCTTGACACCGGTGAGGAGACATAGGGGGCGTCAGCGTCCGTGGCACAGAGGTGGGAGGGGAAGGGAGTTAGGAGCGCGGTGCTCCGGATCTCCGCCTGAATGCGCCTGCCGGGTCTCTGCAGCCCACGGAACCCCTGCCGTCGCAGCCACCGGAGTGGAGGCGGGAAGGGGGCGTCCGTGTGGGGGAGCGGCATCGGTGCCCATGCGCGAGGGCCGAGGGGAGGGAGGGGCGTCCCACGCGGCACCGGCAGCACGTCCGGGGCCTAGATCTAGGACCGTTCGCGAGGGATGCGGAGGGGAGAAGCCACGGCCACTGGGCTGTGAGTGATACCTGAGGGGGAGAGGCTGGCGTCGCGCTGGGAGTCGGGAGTGTCGGAGGAGAGTGATCGCACTGCGGGAGGGGGGAGGAGGCTGTGCATCGCGCCAAGGGAGGATGCGGAGGGAGGCTGCGCGGCGTGGGGTAGGTCGGTAGGGTTAGGAATGTGGCTAGGTTTTTTGCCGTTCGGGGGTGGGGCTCTTAGCAGGCCAGGCCATGCGCTGTGGACCGGGCCGTGCCGTGCCGGCCCATGTGCTAGGGTAAGGCCCAGGCATGGCCTACTCTTCCGGGCCGTGCCAGCCCAGGCCTGCTCGCCACCGGGCCGGGCCGTGCTCGTTCTAGGCCAAAACAGCGGGCTCCGTGCCGGGCCTTCGTGTCGCGGGCTGCATGGCCTAGTATACCACATACTGTCTATATAGAACCAAGAACACTAGCATTTATAGCATAGTAATTCATAAAATCCATTTCCATATCTCATTCTATGAATTTAAGATAGACTTATTTGTGAGCTTGAAATGCTAAAGAATGTCAAATTTTAAGTCAAATAGCTTAATCCATTATGTAAAAGGGATCCAAACTGTCCATAAGAGAAATTGGCCGAGAATGATTACGTATATGTTCAGTTGGTTAAGCAAGTAATGGCCTGGCCAAAGCGGCACCCTCTTTGAGCATAAAAATTTCAGAAGTCACACACGGTAGCCTTGTCGCCAGGAAGGCGCACCTTAATGCCATGGACCCCGATAAGTTAGGCAATGTGCTGGGCACCTAGGCACACAACCCGCGCGAACACTAATCTGGAGTCGCAGCCCAAGTGTCCTTGGCGTTGTGCACAGAAACCTCTACGCATGACCTGGTTCGTGGGAGAGTTGGTGATACGAAGCCAGGCAATGATCATGATCGGTATGTATTCGTTGTGGATGCAGCGAAATAAACGGAGACACGGTGAGGCTCCAGTGCCGACCAAAGGAGCAGTCCAGTGGGCGGCGGATCTGGCCTTTGATCTATGGTACATCTCTCAAACGCCGACGGTGACCACGCAGAAGACAGTCGACCACCGGTGGGAGCGTCCGACTGCAGGATGGCTAAAATGCAATGTTGATGCCGCCTTTTATGCAGAGCAATGGCAAGGAGCGACCGGTTCAGTTCTTCGAGATGAACTCGGCTCCTTTGTGAGAGGTAGCGCCAGGTGGTATGCCCATTGTCTTGATGCCCTCACGATGGAGGCTTTAGCTTGTAGAGACGGGCTACTACTGGCACAGCAGACTAATGCACAGCGGGTGTGGATGGAATCACAGGAACTGGTGAAGCTCTGGTGTCCAGGGGAGAATCAACGTTCAAGCATCGTGTCTATCCTGAGGGAGATCCGGGAGTTGAGCACTTCGTTTCAGGAGTTTAAATTTTCTTTCATTAGTAGAAATTGTAATCAGGTTGCTCATGTGCTTGCCAAGCAGGTCACGGGCGATACGCAGGTTGGGTGGTGGCTCCAGGCCCCGGCATGTGTTTCGGCCCTGGTATACCGAGATTGTAACCCCGGAACTAATGAATGAATGAATATCGATCGATCAAAAAAAGAAGTCTCTACGCATCGCAACGCACACATGTCGCGCCATCTCATGGACTTCTTTGACTTCCTAATATCCAATTCGTGGGTGGTGCACACAAATTCCTAGGCCACCTAGAGGTGCTCGTGTTCCTCGACACATTCACCGGGGAGTCTGGTGTCGCCACGCGCATCAAGCTCTGCTCCGAGAGGTGTTTGACAATGTGATGTTTCGAATTGCTTGTAGACCAGCTTCTCATTGCGCTTCTTGCGAGCTTATTCAAGCGCTTCTCCCCCACAAGGCAACAACTACCAAAGTGAAAAGCCAAAGAAGCTCACGTGGAGTAGTTTTTCTCGCCTATCTTGTCTCCCCCTCGCTCCTACACATGCCGCTCTCACCGGCTTGGCTCCATCCGCGCTGCTTTCGTTGCCCCAATTCACATCGTCCTCACGTGCCCGCACCCATCCACGCGCTCTGTTGTTGTCGCTCTACCACCGTTGCTCGTGACTGGCGCCGACCAAAGTTCCTGAGACCGTTGCTTCTCCAGTGAGCTGGATTCTCTACCTGCTTGATCTCCGATGATTTTGCCCCCAACTATAGCCATCAAGCTCACCTCTTGCAGCAAGTGTAGGGAGGGCCCGACAGCCATCGAGCTAGCCTCCTACGGCCCTCCCTCTCTTGTGAGGGAGGGGTCGGTGAGCTTGCCTCCTCCGGCACACCTCAAAACAACATGACACTCCTCCAAGGGCCTCTCAACCTTGGATGGGATAAGTAGGCATGCCAAACACCTTAGCTTGACTTTTTCTAAAAAAACACCAAATGCGAGAAGGAGGTAAAAATCTTACTTATGCAAAAAAAACCCATTAAAGTAAGTTAATCCAAATACTACAATGGCACCGTCACGGTGAGGTTTTAAAATTTGTTGGCTTGTGGTTACTTGAGAAGAGAGTAGAGTTTTATGGGGTTGGGAGCTGATCTAAAAGCATCTCCAAGTGGTTTTCTTAAACTCACTTTCTAAATAGCTTCTCCATGTCTTGTGCACACTCTAAAGAGACTCTAGAGAGCTAACCTCGATCTCTATCTTTAGTTGGCGAGAAATCTATAATAGAGGATAACTATATTTAAAGATCTAATTAAAGGAGTTGGTGAAGGGTTTTTTTTCACCAAAATCTTTAATGATATAAATTAGAAAGGATATAAAGAGACACTTAAAGTTGATCTAACCCATGAAACAATTACTCCTTCCATCATAAAATAATTGCTCATCTTGTATTTCGAGAAGACAACTAATTGTAAATCTAACAAGATTTATAAAACTAGTATCAACATTTAAATCTCTAAATGAATCTATTTTGAAAATATATGATATGATTAATCTAATAATACTTACTCTCTCTCCGTCCCCAAAAGACTATAGTTCTAGCTATGGATTTGGACAAGTGTTTGTCCAGGTTCGTAGTTAGAATTAGCGGTTATTTGGGGATATAGGGAGTATTTGTTATAATAATTATTACTTTTCAAATAATAAGTTGTGTTGATATTTTGGGTACATCAAGTTTGCTATGTATCTAGATATAATGTATGTTTAGATACGATGTATAAAAGAATTAAAATGACTTATAGTTTGGGGAACGAAGGAAATAATATTCTTTTAATATACTATATATAATAATCAGTCTAAGACTGTCTTCAACAGGAGATTTATTACGGAATTCAAATCTAAAATGGATCTCCAACACAATAACTATAGCTTTCAACATAATATTCTCTCTTCTATAGACCTATTTGCAGAAAGAGTTGTTTTTTGGGTTTTGTCGTTTGAGAAGAAAAAAAAAGTATTGAATCATTTGTCAGTGGCGTTATTCAAACAACAAATGGGTTATATATTTGGGTCGTGGTCGTTGGAGACCGTCTAAACGCAAGATGTGTACCGGCCTCCCCGCCTACCGTGGCTGGCGGCTGCTGTGCACTTGTGGTCTCGCCCCTCGCTCGCGGACGGCGGACATACCCCGTCTCGGTTCTAAAACACGGCCGGGCGCCTGGGCGGCCGTTCTCCCGACATCTTCGTCCGGGTCATTGGGTCAGCCCCTATCCTTCGTCTTCACGGCTTCACCTGCTTCTCCACTCCGCGCCCCGCCCCCGCCCCGCTCGCCGTGCGTCAGATCCGTCGCACGGCGCTTCCCGCACCCCTGCGCCAAGCCCAAGGTAAGGCACACCTCGTCTACTCCGGTGCAAGGATCGGGGGAAATGAGATGAGGGAGCGCTTTGCCGCTCACCGACACCGCCTCTCGCCCTCACGGTCGATTACGTGGGTTGTTTGGCCTGGAACCCGATTGCTCTCAGCTTGCCTTTCTCAATACATTGTTGGCCTTTGGCGTTTGGTTTGGCGCTGTGTTTGAAGGTGAGCGGGCGGCGGCGCGTGCGCAGATCATGCTTGCAAGATCTTGGACTGGGATGGTCCGCCTGTTAGGTATGTTCTGTTTACCCGTTTTTGTTTTTCACTTGTGTATAACTGCAAACGGAAAAGAGAGCGTGCCCATAATCTAGTTAGTTTTGGGTGTGAAAATTATTATATCATGGTTATATGCGAACCATATGTTTGTCACACTTGGAGTTAAACTGCAACAATCACTCGCAGTGAACTAGCTGAGTCTGTTTAACTGCTGTGCAGTTATGATTATTGATAACCTAATTCAGTTACTCTCTGTTTTGCATTCCTGTTCCAACTTCCAAGCAGTATGGTAAAGCAGCTTTGTGAAACTCATTGAATACTTAACTTATCAAAGGAAAAAAAAAAGGATAATAAGAAGTCAGGAACAGATTTTTTATCTAGTTTTGGGCTATGTGCATCGTCAACCAGACCTCACATCAATACCAGTTAATAGAATTACAAGAAAACTAGTGTGGAGTGTTCAATCTGGCAGGAAAGCTGTTATGCAGTACAGTATCAAATAATATGTATGTTTTGTTAGTGTTGATAAATGTGCCTCCAATACAACTCCATGTCTTAGTTTCTTTCTATCACAATATCATTTTTTTGGGTGGGGGCAGGGAGGGGCTATTTTTGTGCAGGTAAACTAGTCTGTCATTATTGTTTGGCAGCTAGCCAGAATTTCACTGTATTTGTTTCAGAGGTCAAATAACTTCCTCACTCTTGTATTCCAAATTCTTCCCATGATTATTTCTCCCAATATTGGTGATGCTCCTGTTATATTTATTCGTTTATTTTGAATCACTTTGTATGGCATTTTCATATGGATTAAAACCATAGTGGGTTTATTACTGCAGTTATCTTATGAAGATTAGTAAGGGGAGAAAGAAGATGAGGAACAAACAGAGAAAATCATCTGCCCTCGGTTCTGATGCAGGATATGGATCTTCTTTATCCTGTATTATATGGAGCTTGGTGGGTTTTGGTCTTGTTGTCTGCTTCCTTTCCCTTAAACATCAAGCAGACAGTGGGCAGACCCATGTTTATTTCAGTCCTCTACATGCGACCAGACAATTAGAGGACATCGAAGAGGATCATTTCCGCTTGCCACCTCCTCACAAGGTGAATCCTCGTGCAGTGAAAAGGAGGGGACCTCGTAAACTACCAAAGGTTATAGATGATTATCTGGAGGAGTCTTCAGCAGTACATGCACTATTCTTCCCTGATCAAAGGACTGCTGTGGATCCAACAAAAGGGGAAAATGATAGCATGTATTTTTATCCTGGTAGAGTGTGGCTGGACACTGATGGAAACACCATTCAAGCCCATGGTGGTGGGATTATGTATGATCACCAGACTGCCAAATTCTATTGGTATGGAGAAAACAAAGATGGACCAACATACCAAGCTCGCCCCAAAGGAACACAGAGGGTGAGTAGATATTCCAACATACCTCCTCTGGATTATTTTTGTACTAGCATTTGTTGTCAGCCATAAAGATTCACCGCAGTTGTATTTATGTTACTTTTAGTTTTGTGCTAATCAGTAGTTTTCCATCTAGTTACAAATAGGTCATTTGTTGCCCTTCAATTATTCCAAGAAAAAAAATGCTGAATGGTGAACACGCTAACATTTATTTAGCTAGACACAAGTGGAATAAAAGAGCAGCAGGAAAAAAGAACTGCATAGAATAAGCAGTATTTTAGACACGAGTTGACAGATCTAAAGAGATTTAGCATTACTTTGGAGAAGGTTAGTAGATAGACATGTAGTGATGATTGGTTGTGTGTTCCAATTTACCAGGTTGACATCATTGGGGTAAGCTGCTACTCATCGAAAGACCTGTGGTCGTGGACTCATGAAGGAATTGTGCTTCCTGGTGAACCTACTAATGTCACCCACGACCTTCATAAATCAAAGGTGCTTGAGAGACCTAAGGTGATATATAATGATCACACTGAAAAATATATCATGTGGATGCACATCGATGATGCTAACTACACCAAAGCATCTGTTGGTGTGGCCGTGAGCAACTCTCCGACTGGACCTTTTACTTACCTTTACAGCTTTCGTCCACATGGTTTTGAGAGTAGAGACATGACAGTCTTCAAAGATGATGATGGAATGGCTTACCTCTTCTATTCTTCTCGTGACAATACTGAGCTCCACGTTAGCCCATTGACAGAGGACTATATTCAGATCACAGCAGCAATGAAGAGAATACTAATAAGGCGACATCGTGAGGCTCCGGCTGTCTTCAAGCACCAAGGGACCTACTACATGATCACCTCTGGTTGCTCAGGCTGGGCTCCCAACAGGGCATTGGCACATGCTGCAGAGTCTATCATGGGCCCATGGGAGACACTGGGAAACCCTTGTGTTGGAGGCAACAGGTTTTACCGCCTTACAACATTCTTATCTCAAAGCACATTTGTGCTTCCCTCCCTGGTTTGCCTGGTACATTTATCTTCATGGCGGATAGGTGGAGTCCGTCAAACTTGAGAGACTCCCGGTATGTTTGGCTTCCACTTTTCGTTGGAGGGCTGGCAGATGAACCTTTAGACTACAGCTTTGGATTCCCTTTCTGGTCAAGGGTGTCAATTTATTGGCACAAGAAATGGCGCCTCCCAGAAGATTGGAAGATTTCAAATGCAGCGAGTACATAAGATAGCTAGCTATACTTTAATTGATAGATCGTTCAGAAACTTTCTTGAGGATTCTAATCACTTGTTCCTCAAGCTTTTGTACAAAACAGGCATCCTAAACATACTTCATTGATACATCCTTTTTTTTTGGCGTGTACATGTGCGTGTGTCTGTAACTTCTCTTGGAAAAAAAAAGTGTATTTCAGACAACTGTATTGATGCCATACTCTGCCGTTTATGCCATGACAGCAAATTGCATCTTGTCATCTTTCTTATTTTACCATTAAACAAGCATCAATAGAGGCTTCCCTTTGTCCAACATTGTTTCTTCATCTGCCAGATCACATTTGTTTGAAAACTGAACTTATCTGAATCCAGTGAGTGATATATGTAACCTCTCCAGAAAGTTTACATTGCCATTTGTTTGAAAACTGAACTTCTCTGAATCCAGCTTGTGATTTATGTGACCTCTTCAGGAAGTTTACATTACTGACAGACAAAATACACACGCAAATCAACACATAATGTCTCCCACGTCATGAATCTCAAATATCTAATCTCCTAAAGGAAACAAAGCATGCCCGTATGTTTCTCAAAAATGTTACTCCATTACAAGAGCAGCAAAATTGCAGAAAGCTATCAGGGATTACATGTTAAAACGGCACAAATCATGAAATGGCTCGTGGACACGCATCCACACTTTTAGTACCTTGCCTCATCATCTAACTAATCATATCTTAATTGGTCAAAAACACTGTCTAGTCTAGTCATCATAAAAGGCAAACGTTACAAGCTGCGTGGTGTCCAGGAATATAAAACATGACTCGCAAAATATGGCTTAAACACTAGGGATGCTTCCTCTTCTTGGCCTTTGACCCCCTAGAGGCAAATTTCCTCAATCTATGAAGTATCCTTCTCTCACTCACCCGCAGAACCAGAGAATGATAGAGCTTCCTTTCGTTGACAATGCAGCATGCTTGAAGTTCTTTCTCATCATCTTCCAAAGTGCTTGAACCATAGAGACTCTCCCTCATGTCAGCAAGTGATAGAAGTGTCGAACAAATGCTCTCACAGTGCAATAACTTCTTCACATCAGGCAGTTTCTCAAGGCCATTGACTTCAAAATTTTGGTTGGAACTTGTTGCTTTGACAAACTTGACCACGTTACAAATAGTAGAATGTTCTTCGTCACTAACGAAATCATGAGCCACGCAGATCAACTTGTCATAAACATCAGGTTTCAAATTGATGATATAAAGGAGGATTAAGAGTTCAAGCTGGGGCTCTCCATCATATGCAATCTCAAAGTACTCAGTATCTTGGATAGTGCAACCAGAATAACCCAAATTTCGCCATAGTGATACCCTTGCTCTTGTATGTCGACTGGAGAATATGGATGTGCACCGCTTAGTAACCAATGCTAAATCAATGTTGACAATGTCGTATTGATTGTCAAGTTCTGTGAAACCATATCTATGAAGCAAAGCAGCATTCCCCATCGTTCCATATGTATTATACACCTAGAATAGAAAATGAGAAGAAACACAGACACATTACTAGTCGGAAGAACAACAGAGATTTAGTATAAGTAAAGCTAGTGAACCTTTGCACCTCAACCTCTAATCAATGGAATGATGGCAACAGAGAATTACCTCCTCCCCTTCATTGACATCTCTAACAATAATCATTTCCAAATCTTCACCGTTAGCTCTTGAACCTTTACAATAAATGCAAAAGTATAAAAATAATGAGTGAAGCTGTCCATTAGTCAATTACAAATCTAGATAAGAGATATAAACATGCATATGTTTGTGGATATATAACCTGGAGGACTACTTGTGGGATTTCCTATAGTCGATTCATCATCAGCAGAAGCATCGCTTTGATTATCATCATCTTCACCATCTGAGTCTGAGGCATCTGATGCAGACGTGAAATGCACGTGTTCACAATCAGTCTTGTGATTGAAACTGGGAAGAGGATGAAAAGAAAATTTTCATAAATAGCAGAACATATACAAATATGTAATTTTACTCGGACTTCAGCCACCTAAATTAATACTACACAGAAATAGCTGTCGAAATACATGCTGAAGTGATGAATCATTTCCAATATAACCAGGTAAATAAAATATTTAATTACAGAATTAGCAAGAAACTTACAGGTCAGCAAATGGAACCATTCCAAATCCATGATAGCTATCTATCTGGAAGGACCTTGAAGAAACAAGAGTTTTTGCAGAGAAATATTTCTCCAAGCTAAAATCATCTGGGTCAACATCCAGCTCTCCAGATAACATGAGGGGCTCGATGCATTCTTTCCAATCCTCACAAAGGAATTCCCTGTCTTGCTTCACTATCTGCCTAGAAATATGTCGTTCTTAGAGTAATTTCCATGCTTAGTCAAGGGAAGCATCATAAACATAGCAGGCGAAGGCAGGATAGACTCGCTTTCTGATCATCAAAGCACTAGAATTTACTATATCACAGATACAAAAAAAAAATATTACCATACACCTTATACATAGTAAAATAAAAGAAAATGCGTCACCTTGTCTAGCTCGGTGCCGGCGAGTAGGCACTCTGCCTCGTCAGCTGGCCACACGAGCGGCACGGACTCGCGGTCGGGAAGCAGTTGGAGATAGGCGTCCCACGGCGAGTCGGCGCCGCGTGCGCGCTCGTACATGACGGCGACCGCGACCGCGAGGCATCCGCCGAGCTCGGCTGCCTCAATGGCTGCCGCGGCACCGGTGGTGCGCGGGGTGAGGCACGCCCCGCACGGGATGGTGGCGACAAGGTCTCCGTCGCGTAGCGGTGTGACCGCGCGCACGTGGACGCCGAGGGGATCGGAGACGTCGAGGCTGAGCGCGTCGCTGCAGACGACGCCATGCGCGCGCATCCACCGCCTGAAGGCGCGGAGGCGGCTGCGAGGGGAGCGCGGGTGTGGTCGTGTGGAACGCCGTTAGAGGGGATAGGGCGAATGCATCGATTGAGTAGGAGACTGGGACTGGGAGAGGGGATCTCACCGTGCTGCTGCGGCGTCGGCCATGGCAGCAGCGGCGCGGGTGTCCGTGACTCCGTCCTGGGTGTGGTTTTGCCTGTTTTTGTTTCGCTAGAAGCGTGGACTGAAAAGTGGCCCCAACACGCTGCTGGGCTGAAAAGTGGATCGGGCCTCACATACACTCGGTGCGGTCTGAAAATAGCTCGCGACCCATTACACCAACAGATTCTAGTGCACCAATTTCAGCCCAATACTTACGGCAAGAGTGTGAGTTTAGACCATGGCTTCCAATGGTACAGCTCCAACTTCGTCTTTCCTTTTCAAAAAAAAAAAAAAATCATCTTTGTGACGGTATGATTCGATTTACTGTAGTTTTGAATTGTTTGACTGTATATTTTCTATTGGTTTCTCCTCTCTAAGTGACTCACTTCACTACTACAAAATTCGCCTTTAGCCTTGGAAAATCCCTTCACACCAGGATCTAGAACCAGGACTACTAAGGGCTCAGTTCGGTTCTACAGAGGAATTGTTCTAGCTGATCAAAGTTTATATAAATTAGCCAAGCAATCAGGGTAGGAATCGTACCAGGGAATGATTCCCTAGCAACCGAAAGAGCCCTAAAGCAGGTTTCACTTCGAGTTTTGCACCAACCAGCACCATGTACAACAGCATGGAAATGAATCTCTCCTTTTGTATTTATTGAAAATAAGACTTTAGGTCATAAATGCAGTCTTATACGATAATGTAAACAGTCATTTTAACCTACACTGTGTCACTCAACATTAATGGAGTGAAATCTAGAATTAATTAGATGATTTGTGCAAGTCAGACTAGCTTAATTTTAATCAAGTTTATAGTGAATTGTATTATATTTGTATCTAACTTATTTTACTCTAAAAATATTTCATAATTAATTTAATGACACACTTCTTGTATCATAAATGTTAGTGGTTTTTTTATATATCTCTGGTCTAACTTAGAATCATTTGTCTCCTCGGAAAAAATAGAAATTGCATCTTTTTTGGGATGGAGAGAATAGGCCTAACGTCAAAAGGATACCAATATTAGGCCTAATAATAAATGTTTACTCTTAAAGGGTATTTGAAATACCATGAAAGTCATAGCCACCTTTGGCCTACACTAACCGCCGCCACTTATAATTATGTTTATAGTATTGCTTTGTTATAAAGAAAAAAGAGGACTTACCAGTGGCAAATTTTTTAGTTAAAATATATAAATTTGTCTAAAGTAACAATTTAAATTATATGCCATGGATATTAGTATAATTCATATGAATCGTTAAGGGAATGTTTTCCATGACTGATGAAACATAACATATATATCTATCCCTCCTACATGCATGTATGTGCACTTGATCAACATGATGCAACAAGATATATGTTTGCTTTGATCAGCTTTTAGTATATTAATATCAATAGAAGTGGATAATTTAAAAACATATATACATGTAATTTATGATTGTTGACGTATATGTAAACTTAGAAGGTTACTTAGATTATCTATCGTAATGGCAAGTGGGTCATAGATGTAAAGGAAGCTACATTGCATTATGTTTCATCATAGTGGTATTGATGGATATTTTAGATATATCAGGGGTTAACTTTATATTGTTTTTCATAATAACAGAGATGGGTAATTATTTACTCAGAAAACATTGTAGACTAATGACTATTATTGGTTGTAGTGATCAGAGTCTACCAAAATGGGTGTGTTATTTTCTTATTTTTGCTATGAATTAATAAGTTTTACATATTCTCTAGTGCGTTTGTGAGTATTAACATGGAGGCTCCATCAAGAATATCTAGTTAGTAATATTAAGATATGTCTTCTCTAAAGGGACCGTGACAGCTTGGGTGGGTCACTTTGAAACTAAGACAAAAAAAAAACACTTGTAAAAATGGGTGTTTGGCTCGCCTTCTCGAAAATGCTTCTGTTTTCGAAAAGCAGAACGTCAACCAGACGTGTGGAACTTGAAACTGCTTTTTTCCAGAAGCAACAGCTTTCACGAAGTACAATTTTTGAAGCACCTTGGATCCGCTTTTGGTTTTTAACTTTTTTAAATGGATGAAAATAAAGAGATGTTTCATAGTTGTTTCAATGGAGATATAGATAGGGATAGATTTCATAGTTGTTTCAGTCAAAAATAGCTTACGACTTTTCTACAACCACATAGTTCATAGCAGGTTTTTCATAACTCACAACTCACGACAAACCACTAACCCTCTTTACACTGGATTACTTGCTACTCAGATTCTGGATAAGGTACATACAGTACCGAGGAGGTGGAGAATACTATTGCCACCACTATTCGCATAGCCTCCGAACTGCAAAGGTTAGCGACGGTCGTACAACTCCTGTGGAGAGAAATAAGTATCAGCGAGAATAAAGGGGGAGAGAATCGAATGGATCGCCAACTTTTCCAACCCGCTTTTGCGCAGCGGCTGCAGGGAAAATTTATAGTACGCCCTGTACAACAGGTAGCTGCCCATGCATTTACCCCTCCAGTCCAGAGAAGACAAGCGCTAGCGGGAAAAAGCAAGCGCCTATCAGCTCTCGAGCACAACACCACACAAGGACGCCGCGCGGTTCATCGATCGGGTTAGCAGTTGAATAGTGTAGTGGGCGCCTGAACTGAACTTGAAAGGCTGGAGGACAAGGTCTTTACTGCCTGAATTATGGGATGCAGCTGTGCAATTCAGACTTCATCACACCATGACACCAGTATCAACCGCCCGGCTGTGCGTGCGTGTGTGTTCGTACTTCATGTTCTGATCTGGTGGTACTCCACCACGCACGATCTTGGTTGATTATTCCTGTGGTGGAAGGAAGGAGAGCTCGCTACAGATGCATGCTGCTATCATGTCGTTGTTGCTGGGTTTATTCGAGACAAGCAGCTAGCGCGTGGAACTGAACCTTTGCATTGATGCGAAACACGATTCTTGCATCCCCTATCGCTGCGTTTGCATGCTGCGATCCACGAAGCGCTCGCCGCGGGCTTACATGTGGACATCTAGTTACCCCTAGGCCACAGATAACCCGTCTAGCGTCTAGGGCATCGTCCACGCCTGATTAGGGCTGATTACGTACAGCTTTGCTGCACCGTGCAGCTATCACTGACGCCAGCATAGCTGAGTAGCAGTGGCGTCAGTCAGGGATCAGATCACCATCAGACTAGCTGCACTGCACGGTGGGCGTATTACTAGCAGCCTAAACGATCGGCCCACCAGTCAGAGATCTTCCTCGATCGATGCTTAGGCCGAGGCATCAGACTGCTGCCTGCTGTTCTCGTTGGCCAGCCACACAGGCGCTTATCGGCTTTGTTTCTCAGCTCCAAAAATAATGGAGGAAATGTTAAAAAAACAAAGGATTTGGTGAAACAGTTGCTAGCTGATTCATGATCATGCTCGGCATACTCCTATGCAGCAAGCGGCAGACACGTTCTCCTTTTCGGTTCCGGAAGCATGCATGCGGCTCAAAAGCGACGCGTGATATCGGGCTGAATATTCCCGGTGAATCTACATAAACACAGACGATAGCTGGGCTAGCTAGGGCTACTCCTATGCAAGCTGCATCACTGCTCTCTGCTGCTGCTCGGACTGACCACACATCTCATCACCCATCACTACTGTCCAGTTCTACTACGGCCTTGTTTAGAGCGGGTTAGGAATCAGTATTTGACATGGTAGCATTTTCGTTTGTATTTGATAATTATTGTTCAATCATGGTCTAATTAGGTTCAAAAGATTTGTCTCACAATTTACAATCAAACTATGTAATTAGTTTTTTTTTATTTATATTTAATATTCCATGTATGTGTCTAAAGATTTGATGTAATGGAGAAGAAGTGAAAAAACTTCCAATCTTAACGAGGCCTGCTACTCCTACTCGCAACTCTGTCTCCGTCACCGTACCGTGTCACATCCCATAAAAATTTTCTCCCTCCTCCCGGCCGGTCGCCGGTAGACGAGACCTCTCCCTCGTCCCTCCCCTCCCCTGCGCTTTCAATATCCACAGAAATGAGGTCATGCAGCTGCTCTAACTCACATCACATTCATATACACTCCGCCATTGCTTTTATTCATTAGATGGATGTAGCAGGAGTACACTCCATCCGCCACTAGTAGATAAACTCAAGAGGGGAACCTCTCCCTCTCTGTCTGTCTCTCCACCATTGCAGAGCTCAAGAACTGGGCTTGCTTCATTCCTGAAGCAGGATCATGAGCAGTTCGGACGAGAGTATGCGTTCCTGTCTCGAAGAAGTGGACGAGTGTATGTTCGAGATGGACTCCGAGCCACCATCAGCACCACAAGCCATCGCCTTGCATCAACAAAATCCATACCACATCTTGGAGGTTTGATTGGTTCATCTCATCATCTCTGCTCCTACAATCTCTAGCTATGTGGGGTTTTGTTTCGCCATTGCTGATTCAAACCTTTGTTGCATTACTCTGTTTGCATCTGCTACATACATATCGTCAGGGTATCGTTGAGCCTAGCACACAGGTGGAGATTGAGCTACATGAGAGGGCCATGAAGCACGTGAGAGAGATCGGGGAGGAGAGGAAGAGGAGCAGCTTGAAGAGGAGGCTGATGATGAGGCTCAGGAAAGACGGCTACCATGCGTCCCTCTGCAGGTCTTCTGCAGGTAATGTGACGTGATCATCACTCTTACTACACGTCTACTGTACACCCTTACAAGTTTCAGCTGAATGAACTGATGGTAGTTTGCTTAGGTCTGTTTTAGTTTCCAAAAATTTTCATCCTAAACTATCGCATCGAATCTTGCGGCATATGAAGTATTAAATATAGAAAAAAAACTAATAGCACAATTTGGTTGGAAATCGTGGGACGAATGTTGTAAGACTAATTAGTCCATAACTAGCCATAAGTGCTACAGTAACTAACCTACGCTAATGATGGATTAATTATGCTTAATAAATTTATCTTGTTGTTTTTAGGCTGAGCTATATAATTAGTTTTTTTTATTAGTATTCGAAAACTTCCTCTGACATCTCCGAAACATTTGATATAACATCTAAAAAAATTATTTCGCGAACTAAATATTTTTAGTTTCTCTGCCGATAGCACCCACAGTATATGCTCCTCTCTTCTTCTTTTTACCATTTTTGTTCTTGCTTGCTCTTCTTAAACTGGGGCTGGGCTGCCTGCAGAAAATGCTGCCATGGAGCAGCATGTTTCTTCTTTTGGTATGAAAATACTTCCCAAATTTACCATTCTCTGCATGAAGTCCCTGTGATACATCTGACTGAACTATTCCTTTCCTTTCTTTTTTCCTCCCTCTTTTTTTCATATTCCTTTTCCTTTTATCCACTGTTTACTGTGTCTGTGTGCTACCACATCATACCATGACACTGCAAGGTCTGCAACTGATCAATGCCACCATTATAAGGATTCGTCCTTCCTTGTCAGCATGCACTCGATTACTCCTAGTTATCGTCGTGATTATATCATCAGAAAGGAAATAAAAACGTTCGCTGCAAATGATCAATGCCGCCGTTTGCTGCAGGCGACTACGAGTACATCGACGTCGTCGTGGCGACGGAGCACGGCGCGGGCGCGGCCACCTCCTCCAGCAGCAGCTCCAGGCTCGTCGTGGACATCGACTTCAGGTCCCAGTTCCAGCTCGCCAGGCCGGCCCCATGGTACGCGCAGCTCTGGGCCCGGCTGCCGGCGGTGTTCGTGGGCCCCCGCGCGAAGCTCCGGAAGGCGGTGTCCCTGCTCTGCGCGGAGGCGCAGCGGTCGCTGCGGGAGAGCGGCCTGCACGTCCCGCCGTGGCGGAGGTCAGGGTACATGCAAACCAAGTGGCTCCCCGGCGACGTGACGCTGCACGGCGGGGCCCCGGAGGAGGTGGCGGCAGCACAGTGGTCGGTGGCGATGGCGAGGGAGAGGGAGCCGCGCGGCGGGCCCCGGAGGCCCGGCGCGGGCGGCCTCTCGATGGCGATGGCGCTGTCCGGCTCCGGCGCTGACCGCTGAGGCCAAGCTGCAGGCTTCGCTTCGCTTAAAAGCCAGGCTGAGTGTTCGCTGATTTGTTTCGATAAGAAAACACTGTACCACGCCGGCCGATAAGTAAGTTCAAGCGAGCAGGGCCGGTCCAAGTGGGCGTAGTGCTTTTTTTTTCACCGTCGGAATCAGAATAGCGCGCAGAAAGCCAGAAACTAGCTACAGCAATTTGCGCATTGATTAGGTTATTAGTACTGGTAGTAAGAACTGCTAGTAGTAGCAGCATTTTGGTTTTTGGGATGAGCCACAGCCATGTCATGTAGTTTGTGTTTTTTGCGTCGCGAGTTGGTTGGCCAAGCCACGCGGCAAGACGGGCTGTGCTTCGGCGGTGTGCTAGTTTCCGAGGCTGCAGCAAGAGAGATCAGCAATGCAATTTATCATTTCCTGAGAATTAGGGCCTTGTTTAGGCCTTGTTTAGTTTGTAAGTTTTTCACTCTCTTTTCATCACATCAAATCTTTAGACACATGCATAGATAAAAAAAATAACTAATTATGTAGTTTGATTGTAAATTACGAGACGAATCTTTTGAGCCTAGTTAGGTCATGATTGGATAATAATTGTCAAATATAAACGAAAGTACTGTAGTGCTAAATACTGATTTCTAACCCTAATCTAAAAAGGCTTTAGATTGCAAGTTTTTTCACTCTCTCTCCATCACATCAAATCTTTGAACACATGCATAGAGTATTAAATGTAGATAAAAAATAACTAATTACATAGTTTGATTATAAATTACGAGATAAATTTTTTAAACCTAGTTAGGCTATGATTGAACAATAATTATCAAATACAAACAAAAATACTATAGTGCCAAATATTAATTCCTAGCCCCAATCCAAACAGGTCTAGACTTAAATCTGATCGCGACGTGTATGAGTACATGGGATGGGTAGATTGCCTGAAATTTATCGATTCTGAATTCTGATCGCAAATCTTGAGGCTCATGAGCCCTGTCTCTGGGAGACCGGGACGGTTGCCTTTGCCCTGTTTGCCTGTTCCACAAAAAGGACGCCTGAGCGGTGGTACAGTCGCCGTATCTGCGATTTGTACGGGGTCAGAAGGGTCACGGCAGGCAATGACTCCCTGACGTGACGCGTAACAGTGCGTGTGTATTGGCACTGCAGCTCTGACCTTACTAGTATACAGTACATACCCCTGGGAGTACACGGTCTTGGTTTATGAACCGTACCTGTTCAGTCAATTCGATTGATGAATAATATTTTTTTCTCATCTTAAATTAGTCGATAGTATTTCCAGTATAGCTTATTAGCGAAACCAACGGAACAAATGATAGCCTAGCGACCCTGACACATACGTTCTCTCGTTACTACGCTCGTCGGAGTTGGCGGAGGCAGGGCGCCGTAACCGCAATGTCGCCACTCGCCGTGTCGCCGGTCGCCGGAGGCCGGACGCTGCACTGGACTGCTGTTGCGCATCCGGCACACGGGAGCTCCAGGGAGATGAGACGGAGGTCGGTGGATTTGAAGTTTTGAACCGATCCATCATCATCCAACTGCATGCCTGCCTGTCAGATTGTTAGTACTACTGTACCCCTTTCTTCAACTGGCTACTCCTGGTGCTGCAGCCTGCAACTGCAGGTGTTGTAGAGGCCTGATGGATGGGAGGATGACGAGTTTCTGTGAGCAACACATTTTTAGGGATGATCTACGTAGGCGTCAGGCGTGGACTTTTGGACATCTATAGGCGTCTAGGGCTCGAGAGTCTACGTAGGCGTCGGCCCTGTTCGGTTGGCTAAAAAAATAACGAAAACGGATACTGTTGCTAATTTATTATAAGAAAAAAATAATATTATTTCGCGGAAACGTGGTGCTGACCAGAGAAGCCAACGGGGCCTTGTCAACCAAACAAGCTGGCCCGACACAACTTCGTTGACAAGAGCGAGCAAAAACATTAACGTCCGGCTGCTTGTAAAAGCAGCTTGTGCTAGCTGTCAGCACAGTGTCTGTGTGTGAGAGAGAGAGCAGCTGCAGCTGTAAATTAGCTCTGCTTCGCTAGTTAAAACGAGCAAAAATAAGTTAATAGTAGCTCCTGTGCCCGGCAGCAATGGTAGATAGAATTCTCAGTGTCCAACAATGGCAAATTAACAACGAGATTTTGGATACATTTTTGGTAATTTTTTTTCTAAAAAACACGCAACCACACCTCCTCTTTCTACCAGATTTTTTTGAAGCATCGGCGGGAGCCGAGCCATTTTATTAGAATGTGAGAGACCAAGTTAGAAAGTGCCCGGATCTCATCCATATGAGTTGAGAGATATGAGACTGTTGATTGGATTCATATTTCATATGTGCTTGATTATTCTAATAGCTAACTGAAGGTGTCATATTGTGTTTGTGTTGTGTGTGTCGAGTAACATGTCTTGGTTTGTGATGTGTAAGTGTTAGATGTGCCGAGATCGTTAATAGGCGATAGAGAAGGTCAAGTGAGTCGTCCGTGCGCAATGGACCGAGATCGGCAAAGGATGAACAAAAGGTTTGGACCAGAGGAGTGAAGGACCAACAGGCCTAGGTCAGACCATGGGAGGCTCACATTGAACACATGTGTAACACCTTTGGTGTTACTTAGCACCGGGATTTAGACCTAAGAGGATTTACCAAAACGATTTTCTCGGATTTTAAAATTTAACTTATATTTAAAAGTGTCAATTTTGGTGAATTATATTGAACAACGGATTAATTAGTTCCTAGATGTTTTATTTCTATGAGTTAGTATGACGTATAGACTAGTGCTTAAAAATGTCTGATAGCAAATAAATAGCGAATGACTTGTTTATTTGATTAAGCATGAAAAACAATTTTTATAAACAAAAATTGTTGAAAGTAAAATTTGCTAAATAATAAAACCTTAGAGTTTTAGTTATGCTTGTTAATGCATAAAGTTGTTTAGAAAATGAATTTTTGGAAGCTAAAATAATGTAAAATATAAACAGTAAAAATTATATCATCAGCAGGATATGAACATCGTGAATATGTTGGTATGCTTGTTCGAGTGTCAATGTAATGTTTGTTAGTTTAAAAATAATAACGAAAGTGTCGCTGGCTACTCATCTCATCTACCTCGCCGGTAAGACGCGCGCGTTATGAGATAGGACCGAGCTTGCTGGCCTTGCCGGCTGCTTGCTCTCCCTCCCTCTGCTGGCTTTGTCGCATACATCTCTCTCTCGCTCTTTCTAGTCTGCTCGGCTTGGTGCCGCTGCTGCATTGGGTGAGCACAGTAGGCGCCATGTGCGCATGCTTCCTCGTGTCCTTGTTCGGGAGCGCTTTCATGGATGATTTGTCGAGCTGGCTGCCTTCGCGCCCCGTCAGGTTCTAGTCATCCCATCTATGCACTAGTTTGAGGGACGGTGGTGCCTCGTCGTTTTCTCGCGTGTACTCGGCCTCGATTTAACTAGCAGAGCACTCTCGCCTTGGCCACGTCTAGCTCCGGTCGGACCGATGCCGCTTTTCATGATGCTCGCAGCGCCTGCCCTGCCTGCGCCCTGCATGCACTGCAAACGTCGATGCCCACGCGCGCTCTGCACCGCGCGCGTCTGTTTGCCTGCACCACTGTCATTCTCTCCCTCGCTTGCGTCGTGTCCAAAATGTTTAATGGGAGCACATGGCTCTGTCATGCCCACGCCCCACTGATCCCTCTCCCTGCGCTCCTTCTTGTGCACGCCGAGGCCGAGCTGCTGTCTGCCTCTACTTTTTCTTGCCGCCTCTGCTTCGCCAACCGCGTCATCGCCGTCCTCGCCTGACCACGGCCACGACTGCCACTTCGAGTTCCGCCGCTGCACGCTACATGAGCCCTAGGAGCGCCGCCGCTGGGCCACCATCGCCGCGCCTCCCACCCGCCTAGGGCCGTGACCGCCAACGCCGCTATCCGGCCACCACACGCGTTGTTGCCTCGCGCATGTCCTGCGTTGTTGCCTCGCGCATGTCCCCATGTCCGCTATCCGGCTGCTGCCCCCATGGTCCTGCGTTGTTGCCTCGCGCATGTCCCCGCCGTGGCTGCGCCCGCCGTCGTCGGCCCTTCGCGTGTGCACGCGAGCCCCACGGTCGCGCTGGAGTGCCGCCCTTCCACACTCCTTCCCCGGCTCCGCTATGCCCCACGAGCGTTCGGCGGGAGCCGCCGTGGCCCCTGCTCGAGCCGTTGACGCGCCGCACGCGTGCGGTCTGGCCGCTGCGCCCTGCCCCAGCACGAGCAGGGCCTAGCCGGGGGCGCGACATATCCGCTCGGTGCCGAGAGGCCTACCCTCGCCAGCCGCCGTGGCCGCTCGTCATCACCTCCCTTGCCGTGGTAGCGCGTGGCCGCCGTGCCGAGCTCCACCTCGGTCCGTGTCGTGGCCAGGTCTGGGTTCGGTCGTGGTCCGCGCACCTCCCCGTGCCACCCCGCGACAGTACCGCCGCCGGCGAGCCGCCGCATGGGCCGGCGAATTATTTCCTCTGCTCCATGCTCTACCTGTGGGGAGGGAGAAAAGGTGTGAAAGGTGAATAGAAACTAATACAGGGTTCTCGGTGTAAAATACGTGACTCACATGAATAGTGTGTTTGTACTACGAGTTGATTTGAGGAAAGCTCGGGGGCCCTCGTGCAAATTTAACATCGCACTAGGCTTGTCCGCGCGTGGGCCGGCCGCTCTCGGTCGTTGGGCCGCCGACTATTCTGCCATGCCGGTTTGGGCTCATCCGCGCTGGGCCGGCGTGCTGTCGTTGCGCCTACGCCGCGCGTGGGCCGGCTGGCTGGGCCGCTCAAGCCAGCGCGTGCCCCGCTCGCCTAGGCTGCTTTGCCCGCTGGACCAGGATGAGCTGGGCCGCTTTGGGCCCAAGGATCTTTTGTTTTCTTTTTCGGTGTTTTGTAATTTTAATAATCAGCTGAATGCTTGGAAATTGATAATAAAATGTAGAAAAATCACAAAAATGCCAAACCAAGTTTGTTCAGTTTCTAAAATTATGATCTATTTAATAATGTAT